ATTACTGTATTAATCTGTTAGAAATATATTTTGCATTATTAATTCTTAGAATTGAAATACAAATAAAATGAACACGTATTATATAGCATTGTATTACGTGACTTATTGGGCACATCACCTGTCCTTAGTACGGGCATTGAAAAGTTTTATTTTACTTTTAAAAAAAGAATAAGTCCCACAAAGTCACCAAACACACATTTTCTCAGGAAAATTTGAAAATTGAAAAGTAGGAAACCTTTTACGGAAGGAAATTTAAAGGTGACTGAAAAGTTCAAACGTGTGAGATCCAAGTAAAAAGTCATGTCAAAACAGGTGCACCCATCAGTCATATCAACAACAAAAATGACGGTCTATGGCAAATTATTTCACACCCTTCCTTGTTTAAGTAATTAATTGTCCCATTCTAAAGTCTATGAGATGCAATAGAATAATAACTACTGTATAATGGTCAACTTGAGAAGTTTGTGTCGACATTAGACTAGGTCTGTAAAGTATTGATAGGCACCTGTACGAATCCAAGTTTTGTACATACATTGTTCATAATATTTGTCAAAACAACTTGAATTTGGTTCACATTCATGTCAATATTTTATACTAACGGATTTTAATTAATTACTTTATATCTAAGTATATGATAATGAAATTAGGAAATTTTTTAAAACACCCTGTTTTACGATACTGGTTTACAATAAGTGGCGCGTAGCATGATAGATGTAAACTTTAATAATTCGTGTTAAGCCATTAATCATAAATTTATATGAATCCCATATCTTAGAACTTCATGATTTTTACATATCTATGATTCATAAATAAATTGTTAGATATAAATACCTCCATTAATAATATCAAACCTTATTGAGATTAAATCCAACGTCTAGATTCTTTAACCACGAACTAATTTGCAACTCTGATCAACAGGTAAAGGTGGAAACTGATTTCTCTCTCTTGGTCTTTTGCACACACAAAACTTTTACGTGTTGTATCATTAATCGGGCATAATTGATGGAGTATATGCACTTTTATAAAGGTAGAGAAATAATTTATAAGTTGACCAAATAATATAATATTAATCTGATATCTATTTTATTTAACCACCAAATAATATGTCACATGTCCAAATCATGTGGGTCACAATTAAATAAATAATCTTACATTCTCTCACTTGGCACATATGATAATTTCTGTAGTAGTTTAGTAAAATAGTCATTAATGTGCACCATAAATCAGATTGACTCATTAAGTTAGTCATCATAAATACCATGGTAAATAAACTACCAATGCGAGTCATGGCGGTTTTATGTCCCTAAATGACACAGTCTCTTCCATATACCACAACACTAGTAACCTATTCAACATAGTCTATAAATGAGAAATATCAATAATGATCTAACAATAATGTCTTTTCCAAGATTATTCCTATTACCATTTATTAAAGCAATACGTACATGTACATTAATTAATAGGAAATATCAGACACATATTTAATGAGCGCAAAATGTCAAATATATATAAGCACTGTTAAGCAATCCACAATTAAAAAATAATTATCATTGACTATACATTCAAGACCTATTCTTTTAACATGTTCCATAGATGTCTTGAGTGGTAGTCCATTCGTTAATGGATTGCAATCATAAGTTGTGTGCTTATATGTTCGATAGACATTCATTGTTTCTAAACATCTTCTTTAAAGATAAAATATTTCAACTTTATAATACCTATTATTTTTAGGGTAAATTATATTAAGACCCTCTGAGATCAGGTCATATTCCAGGTAAATGAAGATTTTGGTTTTAATTTTCACTTACATTTGAATTAGTGATTTAGCATTTCACTTACATCCCAATTTACTTTTTACCTGCTAATTGACCATTTTACCCACAAATTTTTAATATAAAATATAGATAATCTTAAATGACAAAAAGCACCCCCCTCTGTGTGTGTGTGTGTGTGTGTGTGTGTGTATATATATATATATAGACTATTCCAATCCTAATCGTCCAAACCATTGTTATGCAGTGACCAAAAAAATTTGTTTTTCAGGCAGGAGGACATCCTCTATTGTTACTGATTAACACACCAAACCCAGCCATAACCACCACCACCCCATCACCCCATTCCAAATCGGCAACCAAATAACATATCAAACCTATAACAACCACCACCTTCAACCAAACCGGCATTGCTCCTCCACCCATCAACCACCCAAAACTTCCACAATCACCACTCATCTAGTCATCCCCATCGTAAAGCCAACCCTAGTTTTTTATTTTTTTTATTTTAAAATACCCATCAAGTTCTCTGCCAACCCAAACCCAATTTCTCAACCCCACCACCACCCCACCCCGTCGTCTAGACCCACTGCCCATCACCATTCCTCCACCTCTCTGCCGAGCAACGTTGCCTTTCAATCCCACCAAGGTAACAGCCTTCGAAACTCCAACCATTGCTGACATCACACCGCGAACCAACCTTGTCACCACTGCCGGCCAGATCCATCAACGTCGAGTCCTCTCTTGCTCACCCGTCGGAATCCTCTCTGGTCCGAGGATCGGACCTTGCTCGCCGTCCCTTAACGATGCCAGAACCGTGATTGCGAACCGCCATCACCGACGCTCCAACCATGCTGTGCCTCGCCGTCCCGTGTACTTACCGATTCGAAGTACATCACCCCCGAACAGTCCCAAATTCCCAACGGCATCCACCGTCGCCGCTGTGTACTGCCACCTCTTCTATCTTCGCAGTGCTGTCTGAGTCTTTTCTGGCCGGTTCAAACTCGCCGGAGGTGTCCGTGAATGACTCACGGCGGTGCTGGGAAGGATCGATGGCAGAAAGCTCGGATGGTGGAGAGATGGGGACGGTGGACAACTCGGTGACCATAGCCTTGTAGTTGAGGTCCATTGTGAGGACTACAAGGAAGTAGTATTCGTAGTTTGTTTTTGATGGCTCTATGCAGAGAGATGGAGGAGAGCGAAGAAGGCTAATGTGTAAATTATTTTGTATGTTATGGTAGTTTGGTCTTAAAAATAGTCAACACAAGGTCAAAGGCTAGTATAGTCATTTAACACCTCAAAAGTACTCTAACCCCACCAAAAATTGACATTGGGGTGTAAGTGAAATGCTAAACTACTAATTCAAATGTAAGTGAAAATTAAAACCAAAATCTTCATCTACCTAAAATATGACCTAATCTCAGGGAGTCTGAGTGTAATTTACTCTTATTTTTAATACAAGAAGATCAATAATTACAACATAAATTTGCATCAATCTGGAAAAAAAAAAAAATTTTTTTAAAAGAACAAGTCACACAAAGTCTACCAAACACATTTTCTCAGGAAAATTTGAAACTTGAAAAGTAAGAAACCTTTTACGGAAGGAAATTTAAGGTGACTGAAAAGTTCAAACGTGTGAGATCCAAGTATAAAGTCATGTTAAAACAGGTGTACCCTTCAGTCATATCAACAACTAAAATGACGGCCTATAGCAAATAATTTCACACCCTTCCCTGTTCAAGTAATTAATTGTCTCATTCGAAAGTCTATGAGATACAGTAGAATAATAACTGGTGCAAAAAGGCCAACTTGAGAAGTTTGTGTCAACATTAGACAAGGTCTATAAGGTATCGATTGGCAACTGTACAAATCCAAGTTTTGTACATACATTTTTCATAATATTTGTCAAAACAACTTGAATTTGGTTCACATTCATGTCAATATTTTATACTAACGGATTTTAATTAATTACTTTATATCTAGTATATGATAATGAAATTAGGAAATTTTTTAAAACATCCTATTTTACGATACTGGCTCAAAGATAGTGGCGCGTAGCGTAGACTCTTATCTTTATGTCGATTTCGCAAAGACAAACAATATATCATTGTTTTTAAATTACCGATGAAAAAAAAATACATGACTCATCACCGAAAACAACAATATATTGTCTGTTTTTACGATACCGATTAAGGGACAATGGTGTGTGGTGTGGTGGATTCCACATACGGCCTTGTCTTCAAGTCAATGTTGCAAAAACGAACCATATGTACTAAGAGCAACTCCAATGGGTTGCTATTCGGGCTACTATTTTTTCAAAATATGGCATGTGGGTTTAAAATGGGTTCTTTAATGATATGCCAAATGGGTTGCCAAAATATAACTTTGCCAAATATTGTGTCAAATATAACACAACATATAACTATTGTCAAATCTACTACTGCTCTCTTTCTTCTCTCTTCTCTCTCCCATGGGCTGCCAATTTGGTGTTTGGCTTGTGTGTGTGTATATATATATATATATATACAAGCACAACAGACATATACATATATATACACACAACACTGACATATATATATATATATATATATATATATATATATATATATATATATATATGCACAACAGACATATACATATATATACACACAACACTGACATATATATATATATACACATACATACACACAAGCCAAACACCAAATTGGCAACCCATGGGAGAGAGAAGAGAGAAGGAAGAGAGCAGTAGTAGATTTGACAATAGTTATATGTTGTGTTATATTTGACATAATATTTGGCAAAGTTATATTTTGGCAACCCATTTGGCATATCATTAAAGAACCCATTTTAAACCCACATGCCATATTTTGAAAAAATTCAGTGTTGTGTGTATATATATGTATATGTCTGTTGTGCTTATATATATATATATATATATATCCAGTGTTTTTATTTATTTATTTTTAATAATGCAAATAAGTTAATTAAAATACAAACACTTAAAAAAAAAAAAAAAAGTTGTTTAAAATTTTAGTTGGAAATGGTAGTTGAAAATGGTTGTTGTGTTAAAAAATAGCATTTTGGATGAAATGCACTATTAGAGCAGAACTGCTAAATTATAACATTTTGACAGTATAGTTCCTCTCAAAATATAGATTTATCATGCAAAAATGATATTTTGCGTTGGAAATGGTCTAAGTACTTATAAGAGCTCACACCAAAAATTAATCCAGAAGTAATTTGGATTAGGAGATGGAAAATGTCCAAAGGCAATTGATAGACAAAAGCAGGACAAATATATATCATCATAACATAGAATTAAGCTTCTTATTTCAAGTTTGTACAAGTAGTACTTAGATTTTTGCCCAAGGGTATATCTATACATTGCAACCTTATGTATTGTCAAGATGGACTTGGCAAACAACCAGAAATGGGCATTCCCTCTCTTTCAAGATTCAATCTCAAGGCCTTTGCTGTATACAATTTTTTGACATTAGACTTCTGTTCATCAAGCAACTTCACTAGGCTTCTCTTGGCATTTGCTCTGAAAGGGCAATTAGATGCCAAGAACCCATCCACCAAGTGCAGGTAGGCCTCCAAGTCATGGCAACATGCTACATCTGCATCAGGTTTTAGAAATGGTGACATCTTTGTATCGACCTTCAATTCTGTCCCAACATGGGCGTATGCCCATGGCATGTTGTTGTCGAGCACGTCGAGCATTCCTCCAACGCGAGTGTTTCTCAACTTTTTATCGAGGTCTTCACTCACAAACATTCCTGGAACCTTAGTTATTACATCTTGAGAGTTCACTACACGTAACACCTTAACGTTTTTGGCATTAATATTTCTGGCAAAGCCTTGGTTTCCGACACGAGGCCCGCCAAAGGAGAAGACGGCTATTGGTGGTACCTCCGGTGCACATGTACTCAACTCATCTGCCACCAAGAGGGCTAGGGCTGCACCGAGGCTGTGTCCGGTTACAGTAATGCTTAGCGTCTCACCTTTGTAGAGTTCCATTAATCTGCGCACTTCTTCAACCACTAATTCAGCTAGACTTGGCACATGAGCTCCGCGTGTCTTGTATAGACTCAAGAACCCGCACTCTACTTTGGGTTGTCCGTTGGCTGGGTTATTTTGTCCCGGAACCTGAACTAATAGATCCCTCATGTTCTCGGCCCACTCAAGACACGTGGCAGTTCCACGAAGAGAAATGACAATGTCTCTACGCCCTAACCGCGAGATCTCTCTGCGATCTTCACAAACCGCTACATACCCGATCCAGCTTGAACGTTGGGTCATCCACCCGAGATCCGGAGCCACGTCATCAACCCATTTGGGCAACCCAATGGACGATGTGGCATAGAGACTTTTTGTCACTCTGTAGGACCTATCTGGCAACGCCACATGTCGCAGTGGCGGGGCTTCCTCAGCTGAGGTGGCAGGATTGGAATGAAAACAATGGTAGGCGGCTTGTATGAACTCACCATATCTGATCACCTCTCGCCGGAGATTCTCGTCGAGCGGATCCAGGAGGCCGGACCAGTCATTGCTGCCGTGATACTCCTGCCACCGGCTACCGAGGTTATTCCTCGGAGAATACTCCGATGACTTGGATAAGAGCCGCTGGAGCCGGTTCAGGTGCCGCGGTGACATTTCCTCAGCCGCCTTCATTTCAGGCCAAATTCTGGCCAAATTCAACCCTTCCCGAAGGACTTTTCCTTTGTTTTCCGGCGACCCATTATTGGTATCTTTATTTACGGGTTGTGTGTCACGATCAGGTGGGTTGGGTTCAGTTTGCTTCTGCAGTAGCTTTTCGAGATTGGATAGATGCAACCGAGTCAACTCGGTGGATGTGACTGGCTTAACATTCTGTACCTTCTTTACAGAAGGTGCTCTTGTTACAGGGTTTAATGGTGAAATACCACGACAATTGAAGCTGGCACGTCTCGCCTGAAAGAGGTGAATGTTATGTGAAGGAAGTGTATAACCGATGTGCATCATTTTAGAGAGAGAAAGAGGGGAGAGAGAGAGTCAATGAGTTATAAAGAAACAGAGAAGACAGTCAGCAAAAACCAAGTGGTATTGAATGGATCGATTGAGGTATATAACTACATATATAGAGGGAGTGTTCAAAAAATGCCCTTTGTTTTATCAAATTACACCAAAACCTATGGTGGTCCATAATGTTTTAATTGTAAATATGAGGATTTGTAAGGGTTTATGTTTGTAACAGTCACACTATTGGACCGTTTCTCACATAGAATTGAATGAGTGTCCGAAAAGTCTGCTTAGTTGATAGGAATCGCTCTCCTGGCATTGCTCATCATTTTGACCGAAATGCCCCTCGCGTTCAATTTTGTTCAATTCAAATGTCAAATATACCCTTTCTTGAGCCCAACGAATTGGTTGACCAAAACTCTCCAAAACTTCTGGACCTTTCGTACAAAGACTGTTTTTTTTTTTTTTTTAAAGTACAAAACCTGTTAGAGTGTTGTGACAAATGAATGAAAATAAAAAGTTCAAAATGTCGTGATATTTTGAAGGACTAAATAATACTAACAAAGTAAATTAAAATATGGCATTCTGTTTAATGCCAATTATTGGTATTTTTATTAAAAAAATTTGGTAGTAAAAATATAAAAAACATATTTGTTATAAAAGTATTGTAAATTTGAAAAATATAATGATGAGTTTAAAAATATCATTTAAAAAAATTAATGTTAATTGATACAGTACCAAACGCTATAGTGCAGAAATATACAAAAATACTAAATTAGTGTTTCGATTTTTAGTCATCATTCACGAAACATTTCACCACTATGCAAAACAAAACAAAACAAAACAATTTTTGTTAAATGCGTTTTTTTTTTTTTTCACTATTACAGTGCCCAACAAAAACAAAAAACAAAACGTGAACCAAATAGACCCTAAACCAATAAATATAACATATTTAATTATGCAAGAATAATCTAATAATGATGGGCGCATAAGTTTAGAGAAGCTTTATATAAGCCGAAATTATGCTAATAACAAAACGGTCCTAAGAGTGCTTTCCAAGTAATAATAATGTATCTCTCATTTTGAATGTAGAGAGCGGAGGTTACAAATTTGAAATTAAAAAATCACTCCTCTACATACAAAGATAAGACTATCTATATCCGGGTCTCTTTAAATCCTATAATGACCAATCCTCTTACATTGAGTTTGCCCAATCTCATTCAAATGCATTAATAATTTTGTCTCACATATTTGGTACAATCCAACTCCTATAGTTGAAACATCCGGTAGTTCCAATATGTTATCACCAACTACCTTTTTTTTCAGTCAAGAGTAACGCAATTTTGGTCATTGATCAATGCCTACTCCTTAATTTGATTTGATCTATTTATTTTATATTTTGTGATAGGTAATGAATGCTCTCACTCATCCAAAAAAAAGTATGTGGTCGTTGGTATAGGAGAGTAGGAAGCTCCTCACCGGAGTTGATAAAGTAAAGATGTTGAACCTTGACAAGTTTAGAACTTGGAATATATATTCAAGTCAAGTAGTTACGTCAAGTTCCAAGGTAATTAATTTATCTGGCTTTATGTTTGCAATTAGCTAATACAATATATATTTCTTGCAATGACCAACTAACTAATCTATCTACCTTGCTATAATGGTCCAACATTGTCCAGTCAAAGGATTTCTTATTTTTTTTTTATAGTTAACCCGGGATGTCTGGGATGGCACGAATCTTTAGGGTCCCTTAATAACTCGACTAATCTCAGAAGATCCGGAAGGGCACCTCCCCACTCTGGTCGGGTAAGTGCAGGGGCAGTGGAAACTAGTCACAAAGAACACTCAGCAGGACTTGAACCCCAGACCTTGAGCTTACTAAGCTCAAAAGTCCAGTGACTAAACCGATAGGCCATATCCAAAGTGGATAAATGATTTCTTGTTACCTAAAACTTCCACAATTTTATTTTGTGATAAAGGTCTTAGTTTGCTCCTAATTTAAGGGTTGTAAATTAAATTTTAATGCATCAATTATATACCTATCAGAATCTATCAGAATTTCGAATTTAAGTGTGCTTAACCTGGAGTAGTATCAGAATGAGTGACCTCCTGTGAAATCTCTGATTTGGGAAAATCAAATTCGGACAATACTGTGTCGGATATGATGAGTGTGGTTACAAACAATACTTCACACATAATAGCAAATTAATACATCACCTCACATTTCAAGGGTTGTGAATCCATTTTAGAAGGCCAAATTGATAAATTAAGTCTAGCGAGCCATTTTTATTTACTTATTTATTTGAATTCAAGTTTTTCATCTAAAAAAATAGGGGTTAATAAGTTGTTATTGAGATCGGGGACATTATTTAGTATATGTCATACTTATGTCTTGACGCAATTGTAAAATTGTTCCATTATAAATTGAAGGTTACGAATTTGATAACGTATATTTAACTCTTCCCAGACCTTGCAATAATACTTATTTTGTGTATTTTATATTTTTTTACCTTGTACTTATGGGTAAGGATTTTATAGTATTTTTACATCCACCGACAGTCTTTGACTTGCATCCCATAACGGTCCCCAATTGAAGTTGATTATATTTACATTTCGGTATAAATTTTAAAGATTGTCCTAATCACTTACCCTCGCTTTTTAGTATAAATTTTATTAAATTTAATCCACTGCTTAGACTTATACATGGACAATCTTGATGTTGAATAAAATCTATGAAATCTTTAATATAATAAGACCAGTTGAGCAAGTTAGTGCTTAATACGAGCTCATAAAATTTAATATATTAGAATTTAAAATACTAAAAGTCTGAAATAAATTCGGTCAACTAAGAACATCTACACCCTTAATATAAAAACTTGTGAATATCTACCGCGTAAAAACTGCTTCAGAACTGTGAGGCCATGATGACGCACATCTTGGCTGAGGCCACATTAGTTTTCACCATATAGATATATATAAGCTTTTAGTTTCATTTATATTATAATTTATATGTCTTAATTTTGAAACTATTCCACAAATATATTAAACGTCCAATTTGCAATCCTCCACTTGCCTTATGCTTTCTTCATTTGTCACAATTACAAAGTACAAATTAAAGTGGTCCATTTTTTTAACATGATTGGATCCATATAAAGTGCAAACAAAAAAATTACTAATTTAAAAATTTGTTTCCATCACACACAAGCCACATGAAAAAATCGTGTTGCAAGTGTGTGTGTGTGTATATATATATATATGTGAGATTTGCCCTATCCATATACCACGAACATGATAAAGATTGCTTTTTTTTGCTTTATTTATAATTAATTGTTCTTTTTGGTTATTTGATACATCAGAGCCAATCAGGTTTCATTTTATTGCAGTTTGAAATGAAAAATAGGAGTGATCTAGTGGAGCAATTCAGTAGTGGGCACATGCCGAATCCATTATCCCATACACATCCAATTAGTAAAATGTGCTTAATTAATCTTCTTCCAAATCATAATTAATTTAATTGACTTCTGAAGAAATTATGAGCCTTATGAATAGTTGGATTAATTGAGCCACACAAAATAAAAAAAAAAAAAAAAAAAATTGTGTTAAAAATATATAATTTGTCTACTCGATGCATACATACTCTATTTAGTTTAATAAATCATGATATTGTCATGCTGCACATTACTTTTTTAGTCGTAATAAAGAAACAAAAATGGTTGTTGATGCATAACATCTAATGATTTCGTTTGTTTCTATGTTTAGTGATTTTGTCCTCATACAATTCTTTTCAAGTTTTGGTAAATAAGGTACTCCATATAAGGCAACTCTAAACATGCAATTAGATAATTAAAGATCTTTTAGAGTTTAAAGTAGAGTTAAAATTTATTATTTGTCTACTCGACATGCATATGTGCTCCCTTTTTGTTTAATGTGTTGGGACATTGTCACACTGCACTTTGCATTTTTAGTTGTGATAAAGAAATATCTAACGATTCTGTTTGTTCCGTGTTTAGTGATATATCTTTATACAATTATTTTCAAGTCAGACAATAACAAATATAAGTGGCTTTATACCTAACCTAAAATTTGTTTGCATCAATATGAACATGAAATTTAAAACTACACAGAGTATAATAGAAAATTAAGATTTCTGTAAGGAACTCTAAATATGCAATTAGAAAAAGAATTTTTGAAGTTTGAGTGAACAAAATCACATGGTTAGAAAATATAGTGTCAAAATTAAGTTTGAGTGAACACAATCACAAGGTTAAATTTTATTATTTGTCTACTCCATGCCATACATGCTCCATTTAGTTTAATAAATTTGGGACATTGTCACATTTCACATTGTTTTTATAGTTATAATAGAGAACAAAAAATAGTTATTGATGTAGAACATCTAAAGATTTCCACTTATGTCATGTTTGGTGACTTATTTTTTTATGCGAGTCTTTTTTTTTTTCTTTCTGCAAAACAAGTATAAGTAGGTTGACACCTAATGTAAAATTTTTATCATCACTAATATGAACATGAATTTAAAAAATATATCAAAATAGAATAGATATTTACGGTTTATTAGAAAAGACTTTTTTTTAGACTTTTAGTGAACACAATCACACGGATAGGACACGAAATGTGAGACAACTATTGGTATTGTTTGCTGAAGCTTTTCGGTACATATGGGTTGGAGTCAATGGTGGATGAAATGTGAAAAGGTCTAGCTAGGAGATCCATTAATGTTTCCAAGAAAGAGGCCACCGACTTGCCATTTCGAGAGGGAAAAAGAATACATATATTATATATATACATATATATGTATATATATAAAGCAATGTAACGTAAAAGATAAAAGAAGATAGAAATGTTGTCTCCCAACAAGCATTGTTAATTTGCAGTGTGTCAGCATTGAACAGCTCCTCGTGTAACGAATGACCCACACTGTTTTTGGTGAAAATATTAATGATAAACCTATAGAGTTGACTTTTTTGAAGTCATTAGTCACAACTCGTTATTTTGAGCAATAGATATAACTTTTTATTACTTAAAAACAATTAAATGCTGACTGATGAATT